TTTCTGCTAAATCTGCTGATCATAACTGCAGTCTCCTCCTAGAGGCTGTATGGCTGTTGTACAGCTTTTATCAAGCCTGAAGACTAACTGAAGGTTCCCTTTGTCGCTTAAAAAGAAAAAAGAAAAAAAGAAAAAAAAAGAAAAACACAGAAAAACACTTTCTGGACCAAATGCTATTCAACCTATGGTACTGAGCCATGGGTAACATGGTCACAGAAGTGGACACCATCTTTAATGGCATTTCCCATTAGAAATATCATATTCATCTTTGTCCTGTTCTTCCAACAGGACATCCTTCTAGCAGTCTTTTAGGGAGAAAAAAAAATTGTCACTTTCTGATGATAAAAAAAAAGCAAGATCTACCTTGAAACTCAATGAAAACTAAATAATAAATAAATAAATTTAAATAAAAATAAATAATAAACAAACTCAGGTTTTCAGGATAAAAACTCTGGGATGTAAATGGGAGAATATTCATAGCAGCCTTGTTGCACAAGATACCCTCCCAAGTCTTACTACAGTCTCACAAAGGGAGAAAAATCATAGTGAATATTTGTTTTTATAAGTACCATATTTATGTCAATCAAATTATGTCCTGCGTGAATGTGTTATTGGAGAGGGACAAGGCAAAACACCCTCCAAGGTTAAGTGATCCCTTGGTGGAGAAAATATATAGAAAACTGCATGCATGTTTCTGATTATAAGCAATGATATAAAATATAATTTGTTAGAATTGCCCTTTAAGTTCTGTGCACACATATGCATTTCATTCTATAGGATCTTTTCCTAATTACATGTAGTTATAACATGGATCTTGCATTCAGTTTCCTAACATATGCACCTTACTGGATGGTCAGTTTTAGTTTTTAACTCATTTGGAGGTCTCCACACAAGGGAGCCTGTGAAACACTCACTTTTGCTATAAGACTCTCATAGAGCAGAATGCCATCTCAGAAGTTTTTTTTTTTAAGAATACATGAGGGAGAGATAAATTAAGAGATTAGGCAAAAACAATAGAAACAGTAAACTTTTACTCTCTCCTTGAAAGGTCACTTTAGATGATAAAAATTTATTGCATTACCTCCTTGAATCCCTCGAACTGTAGCAGTTTTGCCAGCATTGTCAAGACCCACCATGATTAGCGTCACCTTCCTCCAAAAGGAAAAAGAAAAAAAAAATCATTTTTTTCCCCTCTACCTAAATATCGCTTAATATATTAAGTTTTTGAATACATCCAAACATCACATATTTTATTAAGTTTCTGAATACATGCATAGTAAATTTACCCAAGGTAGCAGAAAGAATAGGTTACAGCATATCTAGTAGGTACTAGATTTGTATATCTGGTATTCAGCGTGTCAAACCATCTTGACAAACAGAACTGTGGATGAAATAAGAAGCCTTACACTACGCTATAAGATTCATGTGTGACAGTGATTTTGCTTTTAACTTGAACTTGATTGCTGGAATTTAATTTTATGGCATTTTAAATTTTACCCCTTTTCTTTTTTAAATTTCATTTCCACTATCCTAGGCTCTTTCTCCTCTCTAAATCAAACAGGGATGTGGTCTTGCCTATATGAGGAATTTACACCCATCTCAACCTGTGCTGCTGAACAATACTGTGCAGTATAAAACCCCTGCATAAACAACACAAGCCACTATAAGCTAAGTGGAACAAACACTCATCATGCCTTCATTTTGAACAGGAGCAATCCGGGCTCCTGTAATACACGGAACTACCAGTGTCACATATGGCAGGCAGTTCCTCAAACTGGTGTACAGGCTAGAATTCATATCAGCATAGGGTTTTGAGCAAAGCAAAAGGAAAAATATCTGTATGTATATCGCAATCATTCCTTCTGTTCACAGGAAGTCAAAGGAATTTGCCAAAATTTACATTCACTCAAGCTCCTATAAGTGAAGGAATATTAAAAACATGGTTATCTCCGGTCTTAAAACTCTTAATAGCATCACACATGAGGTATAATTCAGGGTCTTTCAGAAAAGCCAAAAAGAATTGGAATAAAAGAACCTGAGAATGAACAGCAGGATCACAGTAAATTACACTTTAACAGTAAGCTACAGCCAGAACAGCCATGAACAATTATGAATCCACAATGGCCTATATTAGTGGTGTGAAAAAGCTGTTTAATATACTTATTTGTACAACAGCATACTCTGCAAAATGTCATCTTTTCCAGAATTCAAGAGAAGAAATCTGCCTCCTATATGAAATGTAAATAGATGTGTACCCATTATTTCCCCTCTTAGATTGTAGATGGCTTGAAATAAAATTTGTCCAATGATGCTAATCGGATGGAAAAGGATATAGGATGTCAAAGCAAAAGAAACAAAAAAGAATGAAAACACTTGAATATGTTTTCACTTTACACACCTCAAGTGAGAATGGACTGATCAAGTTGACCACAAAATGCAATAATAAGGTACATAAATAACAGTAAGAAAATGAGTGTTATATTGGTGCTAGTTTACTGATGACAACACAGTGTTCTAACACACTGCACTTCAGAACCTCAAAACACAGAAAGTAAATCAAAAACAAAAACAATAAAGTTTTACATAGCCATCTTGGTGTCACCTCATCATCCTGAGGATTCCCCAAACTGAGGATGCAAAGAGGAAGGATGGTATTTTGAGCCTCATACTTCCTTTCAGCCAAAAAAAAATACCTGACCTAGTGGTGAATATATTTTCTTTTTAAGTTAAATATACTGATTCCCTCTTGGAAAGAAAAAGGCAAATTAGTGGGTTGATTTTAAAGCATTAATGAATGAAATATACCAAATAAAAGTTAAATATGGGTGAGAGGACTTGAAATACAGTTTGGGAAGGTCAGCAAAGATGTGTAAACTGCTTTCATGCACTCACCTGACCGGTTCTTGCCACCGTTTTAGCCAGTTGCAGCAATTGGCCATTAGATTGAACATCCCTCTTCACTAGCCATCCAGAGCCACACAGGCAACACAAACAAGTGTGGACAGGCCAGGATCACCCAGGAAGATGGTGGAAGAGACTGCAGAAGCTCAGATGTTGTCTTGTCACTGCTGGCAAGAAGAAAAAGAAAATGAGGAAACACAGAGTGAGCCCCTACAAGTGACCAAAACAAATCACTTTCCTAGCACCAGCCTGTATATTCAGTGCATGTCTATGCCATTGGCTTCACGATACACTCACTGTACATTCTGCTTTTCCATTCTCTCCCACTTGACTTGCAGTAGAAACATGCTTTGAGAAACAGGCAACTTAAAATCCACTTGTTCCTAAATCTAAGTAGTAGCAGGAATACTTCAGTCATTTTACAATGCCATTTTCTGCTTTTTTAGCAAGAAAAAGAAGAAAACAAAATATGCTACACAGAACAAACAGTAAGAAATGACTGTGTGCGCATTTATTTTATGAATATGTAAATACAAAGTCAAACAGGAAAGCTCACATACATCACGCAAATATATAAAGAAACAGACGCTTAAGACTCCCTTCGTTATTTCAGCTACAGCTACTGCAAAGAGCAGCTCAGATAAAGGCCTTCCACAGGCAAAATTCAGGCAACACTACCCTGCTCCTTCAAAGCATGCTCTCTGTTAGGATGCCATCTTTTTCCAAATGTGAACAGGGCCCTTGCAGAAGGAATATGCATCGTCACCGCCGTGCCTTCATCTCAGAGGCTCCAGTGAACTTAACTCAAACTTTTATCAGCAGCCTAAGCTGAAAGCAACTGGTTTTGCATCAGAGTAATTGAGATATAGACCCATTTCCTACTGCTCGCTTGGTTCCATGAGGTTAACTGAGAGTAGGACTTTGCATCGCTACAAGTTTGCTAGAGCTTGTTATTCAGATTTGCAAGTGTTTTTACAAAAGTAGCCAATTCACATTTTAAACTAGAACTAGCTTAAAACCAAACTAACTTCTAATTACTTTTTCCCCATGTCATTTTTTCCCATTTTTTCCAAAAAAAGAAAAAGAAAAGAAATGTCCTTAACAAAAACATTCGTTCCTAACGAGCTATGATGGTTTAGCTAATTGACTAGGTAGGATCTAAAAAAACCTCCTCCCAATCTTATGAAGTTGGTGCATCCAGGGATGCCTTTGTATGAAATTGCCACCATTCAATGCCATAAAGAGGTCAGATTTCTTCTGGAGCAGAGACAACAGATACTCTTTAAATATTTACATTCCTTTATATACGAGCACTGGAGAACTTCTCCATAAGTCTGGCATGTGGAGAACAGAAAAGCTTCTTTAAAGAAAAGCAAGATGATTTACAGCTTTAAAGTTTTACTAGTTTTAAAATCAGGATCTTAACAATCCACTCCACTCAAGAAAAATCTCTCCCAAACCCTCTCATGCAGTGGGGTATACCCAGACCCAAAAGCAAAGCTAACTTTGAAGGTAAGGCTGAATTAACTCTTTTTTTCTGCTGAAAAGCAGAACGTAACAGCTCAGTAAGCTAGTACTGACACAAATTTAACAATTTCAATACCACAGTTTCATCACTGAGCACACCCCGTGACGTGTTACACATAATTTCTTGCTTGAAAGTTCTCAAAATCCTCTACATCACGGATATGGCCCATAGCATTCACATGGGACCCAAGAAATAAGAAGAAGTTGCTAAAGGAGGATCAGAGGCAGACTATGTAATAGCAAAGAATCTTGCCCAAGTGAAAAAAAATAAAAGTGTGGGGGGAGGGGCAAAATGACAAAAGAATAAAGAATTTCTCCAAAACATGCTACATAAAGAAAGCAAGAATTATCTGCTGCTGCAGACATTAAACCTCTCAACTCAAACTCTCATATATGTTTATGCAGGTGAAGTGAAACCAACAAGCCCACAAGCTCAAACCTGCAGAACTGGGCATAGCTAGTATGCCAAAGCAGGAGCAGGGCAGCGCTAGTGTTGGGGTGTGAGAACAGGGCTAAGATCCCATTTAGGGGAAAGAGAACTGAAACAGCGCACTACAGAGACCAAGAGGAACATGGCAGGTAACTATGTAACCTCTCCGCATCACGGATGAAATAAAGTTCCACTTAGCAGCTTGTATGTTATGTGATCAAAAGTACTGCGCACCAACCAAAACACTGAGCACCCAAAGCCACCTGGTGAATAAGCCTGTCTACTTCCATAGCAAAATACAGAATAATGCCTTCTTAAATATTTTAGCTTTTAGTAGTTTTTTCAACATTTTTTTAAAAGGCACTTCTTAAAGCAGACCTGTCTCAAAAAAGTTTAACTATTTAATTTCATAGTATGATATTCCTTGCCTGACTAGCCTTTTAGCTGTAAAAACACGGTATTTTAGTTGTATCGCATTATATTCTGAACAGCAAACCAAGCCATTGGACAGTGAACGAAGCAGGTTCGACAAAAAACTACAGAGCGCCGTCTCGGCCAAAGCAGGTTAACGGCTTGCACAAAGTACCAGCGAGGAGAGCCCCCAAGGCTCGCAAGACTCAGGTGCGCAACTGTGAAAAACAGCCCCGGGACAGCAAGTTCTTCTGTAAAGAGAAGCTCCTGGCGGGAGCTCCCGGCGAGCTCCCGCGCTTCCCAGCCCTGCTCCCGCACTCCTGGCGCCCGGGAAGCGCGCGAGGGATGGCGCCTCGGGCAAAGCGCTGCCCCCGCTCCCGCGGCGGGGG